GAAATTGTTATACAAAGCAATAAAATATTGTTGTTTTATATTACTTGTTTTAATATTTCAATATTTTTTAAAATTATTTTTAGGTGCTCGCCGTTTAAAGCAACTCAGAGATAATGTTGTGTAAGTATCGAGTATTTATATATAGGCATATGTTAATTTATGTATAACAAAAAATTTCTTTAAAAGCTATGGCAATCTGAATCTCAAATAAATTTAATTTTTTTTTTCAAATATCAAGATCTAATGTTTTAGAGTTTTGAATGACCCCTAAAAATAATACTCTTACGCCATAGTTAACACATTTAGGGGGTAAAGGTATTTTTATATTGTTAAAGGGTCACTCTTACAAATTACAAATAAAATGCCAACTCTAATCCTGATAGTAGGCAGAAATTAAAAATTTTTTGGTGTAATAAATGCTCTTCATACATATAGATATTTATTGCCCAAAACCTTGTTCAATAATTTTACTGAAGCCCTGCTGATGGATATTTCAAAATGATGTTATCAGTAATGTAACTAAATCCTCATTCAATAACATATATGTTTTTGTATCTGTGTGTATGTCTGATATGCTTTGAATAATATTTTATATGTTTTTTATGCACTTGAACTAAGTTAGATTTAAACTTCAATTTTGAAAGTATTTACCAAAAAACAGTAAAACAGCTTTTGATTAATATTTGATTAAGCATTAGGCTTTTACTTCAAAATTAGTGCAGTTCTATTATATTATATGTTAATTAACTTTTTTTTTTTTTGACGAACGACTCTTACAAATATTATTCCATTTCTTGAATTTAAAATTTTAACTTGAATTCAAAGTTTTAACTTTCTAAAGCTCTATATGCAGCTTCTGGTCAAACTTATCAAGTATTGAAGTTTGTAGTAATATAATGGAATGTACTGTATTTATCAGTAAAACAAAACAAAGAAAAAGAATTTAAAAAATCTTTTGAGCTCGCTGAAACTGAGTAATTTACAAGTTCAGTTAGTAGATAAAATTAAACATGGCAGCTCCTTAACAATAGCAACAGCAAAACATACATATATGCATACATACATACATATAACAAAAACTCTATAGAGATGTAGTTTTAATAGAAAATAGTTTTACCAAAGATCTATTTTCAGATTTTTTTTGTGCGTGTTTTAATTCACCTCATCAAGGCTATGAAGGCCACTACAGTCGGGAAGGCTACTTAAATTGTGGTTACAACTCTCTCTCTCTCTTTCAAGTCTATAACTTTGAAACACGAACCTTGAGGAAAGATTGAACCTTGATGAGATTGCCTCAATTTATTTGAATTAAATGATTAAAGCCATCATTTAAATCTGCTCATAAAACCTTTCAGTTAATTTTTATATACATAACCTTTGATGAGGCTGATTTTTAGTGTATGTCATAAAAAGTTTTAATTTTTAAAATTAATTATGGCTTATATTATAAGTTTTATTGATTGATTACTTATAGGTCATTTCGTAGCAAACTAAGAGATATGGGATTTATTATATATGGTCATGATGCTTCTCCCGTTATTCCTATTTTGTTGTATATGCCTTCTAAAATAGCGTGAGAAATTTTATAAAGTTAAATTTAATTGAAATTTATTTTAATATATAAAATATTTTTATTAAATTTTTTTATTTATTTTTTAAGTTGTTCTTTTGTTGCTGTTATAAAAAACATATTTCTTGATGATTTCAGTGCAGTTATAAAAATATATTTCTTAATGATTTCAGTGCATTTAGTCGTGAAATGTTAAAACGAGGAATCGCTGTTGTTGTTGTTGGTTTTCCAGCTACTCCTATAATTGAATCTAGATCTCGCTTCTGCTTGTCTGCTGCACATACACCTGAGATGCTCAATAAGGTATTTTACATCTTTGTTTAAAATTTTCTGTTGAACTTATTATTTTTTTTATTGCACAAATCTTTATATAATCAGCAAATAGACTGTCATTATGACGGTCTTAATTGTCGCGTCATTGTAACGGTCAACAATTGAAGACTTCGGTGCAAAAACGATGTAATACCACTTTTTATCAATTTTCAGGTTTTAATGGATTATGAGTATATAAAAGAAGCTTTATCAGTCAGTATAAAAATGACATAGATTAAAGCACTTCTCGTATAATTAAACACATGATTTGGAAGAAAAATACGTATTCCCTACATTTAAAATTATTCCATTTTTTCTTTCTCCTGAACAATTTGCTAAAATGAAGTTACATCGTTTTTGCACCGAGGTCTTCAATTATGTTTAAAAGTTATTTTAAAATCTTAATACGAAGGAAAATCTAAATTATACGATAATTTGCAATTATTATAATTATAGTTATAAAATAATTATAAATTATAAATTTAATTATATTATTTTAATTATATTTTTGTAACGTGTCAATTTTTTTGTATTTTTAAATGAATTTATGTGATTCTATCGTTTTATTCTTGTAAGTTTATCCTCTTTTTTTTGTTGTTAGGTTTTACTTGCCCTTGATGAAGTTGGTGATATTTTACAGCTAAAATACTCAAGAATATCTCCGGCTAAATCTTTAAAAAAATGCATAGAGGAAAAAAAAGATAATTAAAATATAGAAATTGAAACTTGGTGTCTTTAAATTATAGCTGAAAATAATGTAAATAAATCGCTCTCTGCCATTCACTTAACGAACTCTGAATAAATTATGAATCTTCAATCCATGTAAAATATACTTCGATCATAGATTTGTTATTCTGATGTAAAGTTTGCTTTTTGTTATTTCTTTGTTTTTGCATACATATATTTTGCAAATTTAATTATTTTGCTGAACTTTTTTCAATTGAACTTTTTTTTTTTTTGCTGATTTTTTTTTATTATTATTTCTTTTCCTTTTTTTTTTTTTTTCCTATTGTTTTTTATATCTGCGTCTTTATTGTATTTACGTTTTTGGTATGTTTGTAAATTATTTTTAAATAATTACTTGTATATGTCATTAACTTAAATTGCTAGAAGACATTGCATCTATTGTTTTATTGATTTTTTCTTACAAAGTTAACAAAAAAAAGTAACCAACAGGGGCAGATCTAGGATTTTATATAGGTGTAGTTAAAATTTGTAAAAATTACGTCATAATTGCAACTATTTAATAAGTCGGTTAGTCTACGTCAAAAAGACCTCGATCTTTACGTCATGAAGAAGCTGCCAGACAATTTTTTTTTATCCGGGTGTCTTTGATTGAAGGGTTGAACAGCTTCTGCGTCGTTTACCTAGTTTAGTTTTCACTTTATTGCACACATATATTATTCATTTATTTTTAATGGATTCTAGTCAAATAACTAATGGTATAATATAAAATTTGCTACTTCTTGAACAAGTTTTTTTCTCGGTACTTAGAATTAAATCTTTAAAACATTCAAGAATGTTGGGGGGGGGGGGACCAGTCATTGTCATGATGTTTGTCTAAGAAATACTACATGGGGGTTTTGATTGATTTTTCTAAAGAGGCTTCCATAATCCAACTCTGCATGAATAGAGGTTAGATGCAAAGATAGGAATGATAGATATCCAGAAATTCCTGAAGGTAGATTTGCCAATCATAGTTAGTTTTTAGGTAACTTAACATGGTAGTTGGAACTGGAAACGTCCCATATAAACCAACATGCTTTCTGTTTGAAATCTTAATAACTAATAAGATCATTAATAAGAAGGTCCAGTAGAGGTAAAGTGATAGAAAGCTTAAAATAATCAGATGATGAGTGATTATCACGATTGATTTGCTTTTCACATTTTCTAGTTTTTTGTTTTCTTTTACATTTAAAGCCATAGCTAACTCAAACGCAATATTTAACCAGTTGTAGTGATATAAATCAACACCAAATTTAATTCTTTGAAACGTGTTTTTTTAATTGTCAATTTCATGATTCTAAAATTTAAGTTATGTTGTATTGCTTATCTTGGAGTCTAATTATAACCTAAAAAATTCAATCCATCAAATTTTGGTTAAAACTAAAGTTACATTGAAAGAAAATTCAAACATCAACAATGAAGAGTCTTTTGCTAAAAAAAATTATTAGACTTTTCCTTTTTTTTGAACCCAACAAATACAATAGACACTGATTAGCTTTACTTTACCAACAGAAAGACAATTATTTAAACATGCCTGTAATTTTCGACTAAGGGCACATTTAAATAATTAAGGACAGTCAGCAAATCTTACAAAATCTTTACAAATATTATAGTTATTGTCTATATACCTTATAACTATCGACTACTGTTTAAGATTGGCACTATCAGATGCTTTATCAGCTAAAATAAAAAAGTATTTGCTTTTATTAATTTCAGAAAAAAGAACTATTATTAATAGTATTAACCTGTTTAATAAAATAAGAATGTTTTAGTTAAATGTTATAAGAATTTTATAACAATAAGCACAGAAACAGTTGTATATAAGTAAACAAAGTTACAGTTATAAAAAGCATGTTATCTTTTTATAACAAATGTAGTTCGTGAAAACATAGTTAAAAAATATACCTTTAAGCTACGAAACCTTGATCCATTTTAAAATATGGTATAAAAACATTTATATCAGAACATCTTCAAGCCAAAAGCTTAACGATGAAATTAAACTGGTGAGATATTTAAACCATTTGGTTTTGTGAACAATTTTTTTTTCGCAACATTTTATGTTATGAATGTGAAAAGAATTCGGAACAGTATTTTTTCAAAACAGATCCGCCATAATGACCAACTTAATAGAGAAAATAATAGAGGCGCTTAGCTTATTCAAAAATAGCTGGGCATTAAAAGACTGGGAAACAAGTACAGCCACAATGCAAAAAGAAACCTAGACACGGGCTATGAGTGTTGACGCCATACGACTTCTCAATAAAAAAAACACATTGCTTTTAAAAAAAACAATAATTTAGTCAGCTTTTGCAGTAAAAGCAGGTAATTTGTGGCTTAGCCACAAACCGATCTGCAATGATCAATCTTTTTTTATATTCCGGTTTTTTTTAGTTTTAAGTAATCGCATTCAAAGTCAGCAAATAAAAACAAACTTATCTTAATTATTTATATTATTTTTAATTCAAAAATATGTTGAAATATATTATTTTTCATTTCGTTGATTATTTTAAGGTGTAGTCTTAGCTACAACGCCTGACCATTTCCAGATTCATAAGCATCACTGGAGAGCACCACTAGTTTGGAATTAATTACATTTATGAAATTATTTACAAATTGTGGTTACTCAATGTTTGTAATTCTCTTTCATGCCAAATAACGCGGATAAGAAAAACAGTGTCGGATTAGTAATTTGTTTGGTATGACTACCCTTCATATTGAATGAAGCTACTACAGAAGAAACAGTTAATTGTTGATTTAATATTTATTTATTTAAAAACCTATTTTTATCAGTAAGTCTCAAAATATTTAGAATAGGAACTTGATCATAAACATAATCTTTTTTACTACAATTGATTTATAAGGGTTGCTAATTTTAATTTATAACTTCAAATTTTTTTATTTGAAGTTAAATTAAAAAATTTGAAGTTATAATTGTCATATCAGCTACCTTGATAAACACTAATGGGCATAAAATTAAAAGAAATTTAATTTTTTCAAATACCAATTTAGATTAAATTTAAGAAAACATTTACCTTAAAAATTTCTGAAAAGTAAAAGCCTTTTTCTCTCTTTATCATCTAAAATAATGACACGCTGCGTCATACTTTGCGGGTTCAACAACGTGCTAACAAAAGTAGAGGCCACATACCATATTTGTTTTATTTATTTTAATTAAATGCGATTAGTTAACAAGGCTAGTTAAAAAAGAAACAAAAGATCTTAAATAAGTAATATTAGTTATAATTAATAAAACAAGTAATATAAGTTAAAAAAATAAGTTAATAAGGATGTAAAATAAGTGTCAATAAACGATAACTATATAATACCAAGCAGACCAGATAAATGTTTTATAAAATTTATTCTAATTCACACGCATGTTTGTAAGAGCTTTGAAAAAACACTATTTTCATTTTTAGAAGAGAATGACATAGGCTTTAGAAACTTTAGATAAAAATTGTATGACAGCGCATTGTATATGAGTGGAAAATACAATAGTGTGCAAGTCTGAATTTGCAAGAAAAACAATTGTTGCAGTTTTTTAATTTTGTTCAAAATTTGCATTGATAAATCAATGGATTTTGCAGAAAAGTTTAGAAAATTTCACTGTAGAAAAGTTATAAAACAACTCAACAGATGCTTCCTAGTGTTTCTGAACCAACAACAGAAAAAGCTGACATCTAATCAGAAGCATAAGATCACGATCAGAAGCATAAGATTACAATCAAAAGCATAAAATCAATCAAGTTAGAGACATTCAATAATTTCTTTTGGTCATAAATGTTCAATTATAGCTAATAAGTTTCTTTGGATGATTTGTCAATGAAAGATTTAACAAGCTCTATCTTCATAGTTTAAAAACTTAAATACCTCTAATAAATAATTACAAATACATCGTTACTTTTAGCGATTTCTTTTATAAATTTGGAACCACCCGTTTTTCATTTTCCTTTTTTAAATTTTTTAGATGTTTTTGGTGCTCATAATGTGTACACTAGCTTCATTGTTATTTGGTTGTTTTACCTGCTCACAAGTCATAATAAAACTTCAAAAATAAGTTTACTTACAAATTAAACGACTAAATTATTTGTATCATTTGATGATAAAAAAGCAAGGCTTTGAATTTTTTTTTTTTAATTTCGGGAAAAAAATGAAAGAGAAAAAAAGTAACAAATCAATTTCTAATGTTTTTAAAATAAATTGACTTTATTAAATTTGATTTACTAATAAAATAACCATATAATCCATTGATTAAATCTTATCTTATGCAATACAAAATTCAAGCTTTATTTTAATCAAGTAATATTTAAAACGTAAAACTTTTATTTTAAAAACATTTAAAATATTTAGGTAAAACAAATTTAAAAAAAACGAAGCTGTGTGCAAAGAGCGTAGTGTTAATTTAATATAAGAACATAATCTATGCCGTTGATTACAGAGACAGAATTACAGAGATTACAGAGAATAAACAAAGAATATTTTATGTTTATTCAAAGACTACGATTATTTACGATTGAAACAACTAGTTGGCAGAGATTGTTTTTTATGTTAAACATTTTTACTTTAACCGTGTTTAAGTTATTAGAATTATTGACTCATATCATTATAGGTAGTACATAGCACCCTAACCGATAAGCTATGAATATGAATATATGGGTTTTTATCACTCCTGCTAAGTATAAGGGAGACTGCGGACACTTTATTCAATGGGAGACTTGATCAACCCCTGGTAAATCGTTTGCTTTATAATAATTTTATTTAGACTAGCAACACTGATAAACTGTCGAAGACGTTTAAATTGTAAGTCATTTTTATCTGTCAGAAGCTTGAATACTATGCAAAATAAGATTTTTTTTTTAAATCACGTTGTTGAACTTTTTTTTGGTAGGTGTTTGGTTGTTTTTCAAATGTTTTAGTAATAAATAACTCGTTGTTTTTATATATAGTATGTCATAAATTTAGTCTAGATTGCTATTTGTACAGTACATGAGATTTATTTCAAATTTTATATCACATTTCCTAAAAAAAGTTGCTATGAGGAGACTTGAATCTGGCTGAAGTGGGGAAATATGATACCGGGATCAAGTCTGTCTTTAATGTGCACATTAAATAGTATATTATTTACTTTCTATTTATTGCAATATTTTTTTTATATATACGGATAATACCATGTATCTATAAGAGAAGAGGGAACAAAACCAAGAACTGTAATTGACTAAGAAAAAATGAAGCTGTCGGTGTTTCTTATTTTTATTGTTATCTTTACTTATTTACCTATTAAAAAATAAGCAGGGGCAGAATAAACTCTAAACAAAACTCATGGATAGAATTGAGTCTACCCATGCCTGGGATCAAGTCTTCCATATAAAAGAGACTTGATTCTTTTTATCACAACGACGTTTTATTTAATAACTTTAAAATAGTAAACATTTCATAAAAATATTCCTTTGTTTGATTTGTATTGACTGGTATATAGTAATTAATTTATTTCACTACATTATTAAAGTTAAAATAAAAAAATAAAATGAGGAAAAAGTGTCCCTAGTCTCCCCTGCCCAAAGTTGTAAAATATGGTCAATATATAAATATGGTAATACTCTCAAGGTGAAGTTGTCAATGCACACCAAAATCACTCACAAGAGACATCATTCATGCCCAACACGGATTATTATTACTCAAATATTTTTAATGGAATCACTATATCTGTAAACCATCACAAATTTTAAGAAACTTTTTTAACAGCCTCCCAACCATTAAACTGAGTTTTAAAATTGTACTATCATTTAGAGACAACAGGAAAAGTTGCATGGCAAACTTTCAAGTAGACAAGCAAAAATCCTAGAGACTTTGGACTTGACTTTGTGTTAGGCAAGGAATAAAGTAACGCAGATTTACATTTACGCTCGCCTAATGAAGGGATACGAGGCTAGTAAATAGAACCTTTTTATTTACCGCTAAGGTTTTTTCTACTCGACAGTAGCCAGATACAGTTAAAATCTGTCCAAAATGAGTATTTTTATCGCTCTGCCGTTTGTTTCATTTAAATGATCTGGTGTTTCCGTTTGTTTCATATAAACGATGCCTTCTTTGCAAATGCTCAAGTCAAATTTCAGATTTCAAATTTTAACCTGACATTTTTATCTGTCAAATTATTCTGCTAAACTATTTCAAAGTTCATTTACAAGAGTTCAGATACTTTTACAATTCAGTCTGCTTTTGGTACCATATAAATTATATACTTAACCAATCTGCTCTACTCTGCCGATTGTACCTACCCTATTGTTTTTCTGTTTGCATTTGTTTATAAAGTTCCATATTTAAAAATAAATGAAGGAAATGGTACTGTAAGTTGGGGATATTTATAAACAAAGAAGTATAAATATAAGTTAAAATAATTTGTTTTATAGTAAGTTACAATTGCAAAAAGCAGTTGTTTTCGATAGAATTAAGTTTAACCTACATTTTAATTCAAGATTTGACAAGTTATATTTTATAATTAAAGAGAAAAGTCATTTCTCGTCTTCTTTCAAAATAACCCTGATATCGGGGCAATTCGGAAATACTGAATAATATGATTTGTTTTTCATTAAAATACCGATATTTTTTAATAGATCAAAAAAAAAAATGTCAATAAATTTTGTTAATATAAGTTTTTTTACGAATACTTTTTATATTAAACTCATATAGTTCCAGTTAATATAATAAAAACAAACAAAAATTATAATAAAAACAATTTATATTTAAAACGACCAAAAAGATGTTATCAATTGAAGTCTAAAATTGAAATGTTTGATTCTTTTTTTTAAAAATCTTCTTTATCAAACAAAGAAAAAAAATTGTCCTTGCTTTCACTATATCTTTTCTTATAAAATCACTGTGTCCTTTTTTTGGCAAAATAAATCTTATTCCTTTTCCACAATAGTTTTCTTTTAAAAAAATTGTCACACTAGATGCTGACTTCAAATTCTTCAATGATAACAATAGAGTGTGAGTTTTGGTAATGATTTTTTACAATAACAGTTTTACTGATGCAATATGTTTTAATTTCTTTAAAAGTTTCTAGCTTTTCTAAGCTTCTATAAAGATTTTTAGCAACGCTATTGAATGATGATAATCTTGCTCTATTATTTGGAGGTGCAAAATATTCTTCGCTAATACCAGCTCTCTATAATCCCTCTCCTATAATGTCAAAAGCTATCTCCCCTATAATGTCAAAAGCTATCTCCTCTATAATGTCAAAAGCTATCTCTCCTATAATGTCAAAAGAAGCAGTTACATTTTCTGATGTTTTTTCTGATACGCAGTTTGATTTTTTCTTTAATTTTTACGTTCTTTAGACAAACAGGAGATATTTAAAACAAAATATCCTTGGCACTAATACCTTTTTGTGGTGATACATTGCATCGCATGTCTGAAAATTTTTTGATAATTTTTTTTGCAATTGTCATTTTGCATATCTTTTAGCTGTCCATTACTACATCGGATGTATTAAATTCTACTACTTGGAATGTCGATATTTGACTGTTGTAAACCTGACTTTGGATAATCTTTATTCAAAGGGCATATGCCACACTTTTTAAAACCAGCATTGTGTTATTTTTGGAGATGTTGTCTTGTGACATTTTTTTCCATTAACTGAGACAAAAGATATGGAATAGCAGATTTTAGTAAAGTTTTTTTGTTTTCTTCGATCGTGTTTTTTTAACTCAGTAAATATCAATCTCCAATAATGCTTTAAGCGAGAAAAAAAAGCTAATGGTTGTAGTAGATGAGTAACTTTAGCTGAAAGACATCTGATTGTAGTATCATAGTCTTCACATGCATTTAACACTTTTTCAGAAAAGAGTAAAAATTTTGAAATACGAATCTTCAAAGTAAAAAGACCCAAACCATCCATTTTTAACCATCACCTTATTTAATCATCCACAAGCACTCCACTTTTACTTTTGTCATAAACAATTTTATCAAGCCCACCTTTCTTTCAAGTATCACATTTTTTTCATCAAATTTATATCTTTCATCCAAGTATCACATTATTCTGATATATAAACAACATAAACCGGTAAAATAGCACCTTTAGCAGTTCCAACAAACATTCAGCTTGTTGAATTTTTAGAAGTGTTTAAAATTCTTTTGGGATACTTATTGCCTTGTTTCAAAATATATTTTTTGGATCCAGGATCTTCCTCAAGTTTTTCTTATCATAGGTAATGATGCAGTCAATTGAAACACTTGTAATATTTTTTCCAAGATTGTTAAAGAAGTTATCAAGTTATATTAAATGAAATTTTTGCTCGTTCTGTGGCAATATTGGTTTCAAAACAACCATTCAAAAGCAAAAAGTAATTTTTTCAAATCAAATCAAAAAAGTTCTTGAAAACCGACTTTTGCTAAAGGTTCTTTCTATTACTCTGTTGTAAGAGTCTATAATGAAATAATATATATATTTTTTTAGTCGATTAAGGTGCCCCAAGAAGTCCTTACGGTCTTATCACAGAGCACCGCGGAAGAGCATTTAATAGAAAGTTCACGCCTCCTTCCCAACCGATGTCGCAAAACTCGCCTAGAGGTGGGGTTTGAACCACGGATCTAACGTTTCTAAGGCAAGTGGCGCTACCACTGCGGTAGCAGCCGTGGTAGCAGCCGTGACGCAGTGGTAGCGCCACGGCTGCTACCATGGCTGCCACCGCAGTGGTATAATAATAGAACTTAGGAAAATCAACTCGTTGACTGAATTTAAAAATAATTTAAAAATTTGTTTTGAATGCTTTTTATAAAATTTTTTAAAAACCTTATTACCAACCAACCAACCTTACTACCACAACAAAATGTGGCTAGATAGCTGTTGGTTAACCAGTTGCTTAGAACATCTAACGAACATCCTTACTACTTCTGTACGCAAAAATGTAGATCAATAACAGATAATTATCAAATAAAAATTAAAATTTGTAAAAAAACGTTGTTACCTTTTAAAAAACTTGTAACCCACTCTTTTCCTGGAAAGTTATCTTTTATAAATTATACTTTTCTTCCAGTTTTATTCAAATATTGTTGAGTCACAATTCTCAAATCCAATAAATCAAATGGAAATCCCTCAGCTCATCTAAACCTTCACTCAATGTAGCTGCACACCCCCTTATAGCAGCAGGCTATGAAATAGTCGATGTATGTACTGAAGCCAATAAATATTCCTTATGTTTAAAAAGTCTCCACTGACGAGAGCGCAACAAAAAAGTAAATTAAGCTGCTTAACCGTAGCTTTACCCGGATAAAAATTACTATTTTATTTTAACAACGGACAAGTAGTTTAATAAAAGTATTGAAAATATAACTACTTAATCTAAAACAAGAAATAAAATTTATTACTTGTGATTATGATCTAAAGAATATTTATTTAGCAAAAAATAGTTATTTCCAAATAGCCTATTTGTTTCCAAATATTTACAGCACCGTGTTATTATTTAGTCTCGGTTTTATGCCGGATTTAATTTAAACGTATGCCCGGATAATGTTTTCAATTTATTTTGATGCCGAAAGTTAGTTTAAATGCTCATTTTAAAAGGGATAAAACCGTTTACATCGTCTGCTGTTAATTTACTCATCATGAGTTGACATCGTGAGAGTTACTTCACTTTATTTTAGTTTATTAGTAGAAATTTAAATCAACATTTGATATATTTATTTGCTCAATATATAAAATATTTTATAAAATATGAAGAAAAAAGGCTTACAGTTACTATTTGCAATTTTGGTAAGATATCAACTATTTTTTCAAGCCCATTACTTATGCTTTATTAAAAAAAAATTAAATTCTATTTTTTGGAATATTTAATAAAAAAAAACTCAAGCTTGGTGACATTTATGTCAAACAAGAAAATAAAACTGTAAAAAAGAAAATCAAAAAATAAATAAAAGTGTTTGATGTTGTAAACTAGTTTTAAAAGTATTTAAACTTATTACATTGTCAATGTAATAAGTTAAATGTTATCGTGTGGACTGTTTTTCAATGACATCAATCAATCATGGAGATTCTTTTTGATATTGGAAAACCCAACATTAAATAGCTTATCCTAGAAAACAGTTTATATGTGGGCATAAAGCTAAAAAACTTAAAGTAAAGATTGAACTTCAATCTTTACTTTAAGTTTACAAGAGAGATGCCATAGGTATCTATAGAGGTCAATTGAGATATCTAATATCATAATAACGAAAACCATGGTTAATTAAATTTTTAATATTTCAAACAATATTGTTTGAAATATTCAAACAATAATGTTTAGTATTTTTGAAATATTCAAAAAATAATGTTTGAAATTTTTCTTGGCATTGTTTGATGTATTTTTGAAATACATCAAACATTGTTTTGAATTCCTTTTGGTGTAAGCACCTGTTTAAGCTACCTAGATCAAACAATGTTTATAGCTAGTATTATGAACTACCTAGGAGTAAATATGAAAAAAATTGAGATAAACAGAGAAATAGTCAGATAGAAATACTTAGCTTTCTATCTTAATATTCAGTTTGACAAGACAAAAATATTTAGGATTCATCAACCAGGTGTGTGCCTGTCCTGAAGCTAGATTCATGGCAGGTGCATTATATCAAATGGCTTTAGAATTGACAGTTATAAACTACTTAAATCAAGAAAAGCAGATTCTTGTCTCTAGAGTTAGTCTAATGATTGTTATATTTTATGCTCCAGGGTTTTTAAAATCCAGTCAACTTCAATTCATTCAAAGTAGCAAAAATCGTGAAGGAGAAAAGGTTATTAATGTAAGAACTTCACTTTTAAGTAGTTTAAAATCTCACTCCTGGTATCTTTTACCTAAAGCAATAATCATGGCTTTTGCTGATTCTGACCTTGAAATTCAAATAAACTCTGACATTTTGAAGGCTTTGTTGGAGCACGAGGTTTCTAACATAAGTAAAATTAATAGAAAGAAAACACTTCCTGTTTTAGTAGATGAAAGTGCTAAACTTTGTGAACTTGCTTTCTGTGAAAGAGGGTTTCTTTTTGTTGTTTTTGACTTAGTAAAGAAAACAAAGAATTGTTGGAAGCATGCCAGAATAAAGAATGTTTAGACTCAATAGCCTCGTACAAAAAATTGGTCCTTTTTATTAAACACTTCAGTGTCACAATTGATTGTTCTGAAAGAAATGTTGGACTTATACAAAAGTTTGTGAACTCTTCACACTCTGAGGATCAGAGAAAAAACATTTTGCTAGTTGTTTCAGAAAATCAAAAACATTTCAAAGAATGTTTATCAGAAAGATTTTGTTACTTTGAAATAGATATTGTTAATTTGAAATAGATATTGTTATTTATTATATTGTTGTAAATGCAAACATGTTTTATTTGTTAATTATGTCAAACTCTTTTGTTAATTATGTCAGATAGTTATATAATAACTATCTGACACAATTACCATCAATTAAAGTTAATAATACTAATAATGTAAAACAGTGATTTTACTAACATATGCTTTTTTACATTTGTTATTATGTATTGGAAAAAAATGATGAATATTCAAACTATTGAAAAAATACTTATTCCAATGGTCCTAGTAAGCTAAAATTTTCAATATAAGCTATTATAAAGATGGAGAACAGGCATTTACTGTATTTGCATTTTTTTTTGAAAAAAGGTAAAAAGCGCATAATTGTCACAAGATAATTGTGTGCATGGATTTAAAATTGATGACTGAAAAAAAGATATGCATAAATATAATAGAATAACATAGGTATATGCTCGCTCCCTTTATCTAGTATTTTTTTCTGATTCATATAATTGGCAATATTTCAAGTTTTCTGTTAATCGTTATCTTGTTTATCAACTTCTTTTCTCTTCCAGTAACAGTTATTATAATTCTCTTTGTTAGATTTACTTTAATATTACTATTTTAACTGTTATGACCCATAAAATATGGGTTATAGTACATTTATTCCACACCGACCTTTTCTATATATGTTCCTTATTTAAATATTATTTAATAAAGCGGTAAAAAAATAATTATAGAAAAATTGTACTTATTGTTTACTTTTTAAAGCTATGAAAAAAAAAATTCTTTTATGATTAATTTAAAAAAACTTTAAATGTTTAAGCAACTTTTTAGGAGCCTTGTTAGTAAATTTTAAATAATTAAAGTTTACTAAGTTAAAACTATATTTTAGCAGTAGACAAAGTAAACTAATGATAATTAGTAGAGCAAAGTTAAACTAAAGAAATAAAAGAACAACTAAATTTAAAATATTTCCAGTTAAACATGACAATTAACTCTTTATTGTGAGATAATATATGTAAAATTATAAAAAAAAAATAATAATAATAAAAAAAAAGAATATAGTAAAATGTTTTTTTTTTTTAAATATGATCCTTTTGATTATAAAAATTAATGTTTTCATGAACAGATAAGGACACATCAATAAAGAACATACACAGAAAAAAAGTGATTTTTAAGTTCTTTCACAAAAGGTACTTATTAGTTATTATTAGGTAGGTACTTATTAGTTACCCCTGTAAAAAATAACCAAATTAATTATGTTGGCTCAAAAGAGCTATAATTATACTAGTCTATAACAAAATAACACAAAACATAAAGTATATAGAGTATCATACAAAACATATATATATTTTCCATATTCCATATTATTATTACAACTAATTCAGTGATTATTGTTGATTATTATGAAAATTATTAAATGCTATTTAAAGTAATCACAAAATCTAAACTGACAATAAAATATTCTGACATGGAGAATCTTAAACAACGTCACAGCAGCAAATTATTTTAATATTTTGCATGTTCTGCTGACTGAAATTTTGACGGTGTTTAGTTTAGAAACAAAATATACAGCTTTTCAACAAAAATTTATTATAAACATAACTTAACATAAATAAGAAAGAAAAGAAACAAAATTCTGTCATTGTTGCACACTCGGTTTAGAATGTTTATTAGGGGCGTGATAAAAAAGCTATAACACTTTAAATTTATTTATTATCTTAACATTAGGTAATTTTAACTTTTTATTATTTTTAAAAATAATAAATTCAATAGAATGATTAATTTTAAATATAAAATTAAAATTTTAATTATGTTCATAATAAAAACATATTACATAAACCCCTTTTCTGTATTTAAAAAAAGTTTAGGTCGCCGCGTGGCAAGTTCAAATCATCAGCTTGTTTGTTTTTTTTAATTTAAAATACAAAACAAAATAAATTTATAGCTCTCTTTTTAAAAGTTTTTTATTTTGTATTTCAAAATAATAAAATATAAAAAAAAAAAATTCCAACCATAGGGTTTGAACCTCAAAGCTCTGCTTCAGAATGTCAGTGCGCTAACCACTTGGCCACACAAGCTTATATTTATAAGAAATTTTGAAATTATTTAACAAACAAAAGACCTGACAAAACAGAATCAAATGCTACTATTACTACTACTTCTACTACTACTACTACTAGTACTACTACTACTACTACTACTACTACTACTACTACTACTACTACTACTACTACTACTACTACTACTACTACTACTACTACTACTACTACTACTACTACTACTACTACTAGTACTACTATTTAATTCAGCATTATTATAAAGAGATGATTGCTATTACTATTTATTGTTTTTTGTTATCATTATTTATTGGTGTTTAACTTAGATTAATACTTGTACTATTAGTAAATAACCATGAAATGTAAAAACTTTTTCAAAAGATATATTATTGTTTTGTTGTTTCATAGCAAAGGTTGTAAGTATTTTTATTATTTAATAATGATAAAAACCAGGCTGTTTTTTAAAGTTTACTTTGTTAAGTTTAAAGCTGCTGTAAAAGGTGTAACTTTTCTTTAAACCCTATTATTAGCAGGGCTATGGAGTCGGAGTCGAAGTTGCAGAGTCGTGACATTTTTAGCGGAGTCAGAGTCACTAAAATAATTGCAACTCCAACTCCAATAGTGAAACTTCTTGGTATTGCACGTGCATGTACAAAATATTCAATTAACCTTGTATTCATACTAAACCTCAAAGAATTTTTCATAAAGTTTACAAAAAAATTTTTTTTAACTTATCGTGTAATATTCTTTAAAGAATTCAGAGAACTTTTCAAAAATTTTGCTTTAGAGTCGAAGTTATAGTTGGAGTCGTACTCTAAAAACTTCAACAACTGAATTCAAAGTCAGTACTTTTTTTTTACGACTCCACACCCCCGATAGTCTTTAAGATTAACAACCTAACAAAGAAGTATGAAGCAGAGTAGAGTCAATATAATTTGTATTAAGATTTTTTATTCAAGAAAAGTTATTCAAAAACTGACAAAAAAATGTGACATTCAATAAAACTTATATTTCCCTTCTTTTATGTAAAGTGACTCAATTTATCAAATTTAGTTAATTTAAATTTTATATTAAATTCTTTATATTTTAAATTTTCTCATATTGAAATAAATAAATTTTGTTTTTCAGATTTTTTTAAAATTTGGTATTAACTTTTTTGGCTTGGTATTAATAGCTAATGAAAATGTATTTTAGTATACATCGCATTTTTTCTAAACAGAAAAATTGTTATAGTGTTAAAAATAAAAATAGTGTTTTGATTTTGTTTAATATTTTAGCTCCCTTATGCTTTAAATGCTACATTTCCACTGGCTATTCTTCATCTTGAAGGGCAGTTTGGTTCTGCTGATGTCTGTGCAATATATAATCCGGAATTTTCTGCTATACCAATGGAGTTGTCAAGTACTGTAAGTATATTTAGCAATGTTTTTAGAGTTCCAATTTAAAATATTACCATATTATTATATTACTAGCTGTCATGACCCGTAAAGTACGGGTCTTTAGGATATTGATGCACACTTTATCCGCGTGCTTACAGTTCATAAGAACTATTATCCGGTTTATAACGCAAGAAAATCTCAATCAAATGAAAACATCTAAATGAAAATTTTAATGCCCTAGATACGAAGATTAAACTTATTGATTGCGTAAACACTAACTTTAACATAAATGGCATTTGCGAGACACTTCTTGCAACTTATGTCAAAATTTAATGGTGACTCTAAAATCCTAAAGGATAGGAGGGAGACGCTTTTTTTGAGAAAATATTTATACCCACTCCAAACTTACCAAGCCACACCAACCCTCGTTTATTAATCTTTACTTATCAGGTCTCCTTAAAAATAACAATTGAAAATATTTGAAAATAACAATTAAAAATATTTGAAAATTTTTTTTTTTTAAAAATAACAATTGAAAAATTTGAAAAATTTTTCCTTAAATTTTAAAATGTTTTAATTAAAACTGAGAAAATTGTTTTTATTTCAATAAGTGATAAAAACAGAAACTTTCAGCGTAGAATCAGTTTTAAAAGTCATCGACCAAGTAAATCTGGATTTGTCGAAAATGGGCTTTATTTCTCACTAAATCTAAATTTTATTTTAGCATCACTATAATTTTTATTAGCATTTTCACTATTAGCTCACTAAAATTTATATTAACATTTTAAATTTCAAATATTTAAATTAAAACAGATTTTTAAAAATGTTGATTTGACTTTGAGCCACGTTTTAACTAAATTGCGTTATGGTGCTTTGTAAAAAGTATTAGTTGAAATTTTATATTCAACTTACATTCCTACCCCATTTCATATATTAGATTTGAACTAAAATTCCTACAGGACCCTTTTTGAAAAAAACTACAGTAAAAAGAGGATTTTAACCATTTATTAAACTATATCAAACTTACGAAGCAAAAAAACTCTTTACTTGTTCCGTAACAAAAACTTGTTTTTAGCACAAATTAGTGACAAAATTTTGCAAGCAAAAATCAAGGGGAGAGGGTGTTAAGAAATGGTGTTAAGAAAATAAAAACTATCGTTATCGTTGTTGCTTTTTATAGCTATATTACTATTAAACCAGAATTGTAAAATCGAGGAAAAAGAAATCTTTATTTAACTTAAAAATTTCAAATGTTTTATGTAAAAGGTTTTAAATTTTTAAAAATGTTTTTTTAAACAAATATAAACAACAAAATTTTTTTTGTGAATATATTTGATTTAATGTTAAAGTCTTCACAACTTGGTTCGTTGCAAAATCACTTCACTGATTCGAAATAGACAGTCTAAAAGAAACAACTACGTAGTTATTATTACAATATTTATTAACAATCAACGAATGAAATGTAATTCCAAAAAAAAAGTAATTAAGGTAATTACAAATTATGGTAAAAAAATGCTAAAAAGATATAACTTACTTTGACATAATATTTGGTTCGTAGAAGGTCGTATATTTATTTGGAACCCAAAAGTTAAGTTGATTTTTATAACAATTAAACTAAAATTTAAAATCAAATATAAGCAAAATAAATTTATTAAACTAATTTTTCTTAGCTCTTAGTGAATGATTAAAAGTAATTAGTCTCAGCAATGAAACTATCTAATAATCATTTTTAACAACAGACACCAACGTGAAGGTGAGCTAAGGAGTCTGTCAAAAAAATATTTGTGCTTTTCTATTAACATATGAAGCACATCTCTTTAATACTGTCATTTCATGTAATTGTCAATTGTCAACTGTTTTTTTATAAGTAACAAAGAATGGCTTTGCAGTAAAAATATCCAGTATCAAAGACTGTTTTTTTTTCCCAGTATCAAAGACTGGTTTTTTGACCAGTATCAAAGACTGGTTTGCGATACGACAATTGCATCGCGAGCCAACCACATATCTATATATATCTATATACATCTATATATAACTTTATCTATCTATCTATATATATAGATATATATAGGCATACACTTAACTGGTTTAGAAAAGAAATATACATAGAAGCTGAGTTTAGGTTTAAACACTACATGTTGTATTGTAAGTAGTAAGACAAATAAAACATTTTTAAAAAAATAAGAAAAAAAATGATAATAGTTTAAAAAAATTTATAACTGAATATTAAAGAGTAAAAACTATTTTGTAAATAAAAAAAAAAGACATGCCAACTTTTACAAACAAAAATTGATGAACGTCATATCAACCACATGTTGCCGATACCTTCAATAATTTAAATACTTTTTTTTAATATCTAAATGGAATAATATAGACATTGTATAGTGTATATATATATATATATATATATATATATATATATATATATATATATATATATATATATATATATATATATATATATATATATATATATATATAGTTATAGAACAGTAAACTGTCTAGTATAAAGATATTGGTAAAATTCTTTTAAAAACTTAGATTATAAAATAATTATAAATTTTAAAATTCAGAAAAAGAAAAAATACTGGGAAAAGAAAAACACAGGAAAAGGTACCAAGTCGCAGTTTTTAGATTCTGAGGTATACGCGTTGCAACTACCTTTTTTTTTTTTTTTCAAGCAGTTTTAATATTTAGTAATAGTTTTTTTTTAAATAAATAATGAAAATTTACATTACCTTTATTGCTTTGTTAGTTTACACAGTTTTAAATTGTCAATTTTTTAAGTCTTTTTTAGTGTAATTTCATTTTAAAACACTTCCATGAAAAACTATGTAGAACTTTTAAAAATGATGCTATCAAGCTAATTTTTGTTTTATTTTGTGACTTATTCCTGACTCTATGCAACTGTATCAGTAACTCAGAAGATTGGTACTTTTTACTGTAAGGCACCCATATGTTAAATAAAAAAGTCATAAACGCCTTTATTGTTTAAAATCATTTCCAACATTGGCAAAATTTATCTTAGGAAGGGTAAAGAAAAACAACAGTGCTTATTGTAAAATTTTATTTAATTTATTTGTATATATTTTGTATAATCAATTATAATTATAATTATACATAACACCCCCCCCTCCCATTTCTTCTTCTTCTCCCCCAACGAAAAGAGGGGAGATCTGCCCCATTATTTGAGACCCATATCCTATGGGCCCTGTAGGATATGGGTCCTGGTTGACTTCTCCTGTAGGCTATAAAAGCCTCATATGACAAATCTAAAATGATAAATGTAACAAAATGAATCTTATACATTATTATAAAAATAAAAAAGAAATTAAGAATTTAAAAAAATAAGTAAACATCACATTTTACAGTTACATAATAATAACACAGTATTCATACAAATGAAATACAAAACTAAAAATTAACTTACCAGCAGCAGCTGCACTTGACGAAGATGCTGTTGTTGTTGTTGTTGTTGTTGTTATTGTTGCTGATAAAGTATGAAAAAAATTAACTAAATAAAATATTAACAGTAACTAATAATTATTCTAGTTGTAATATAAAAAAAGCTGTTTATTTACCAGGAGTTGTGGCAGCTGCTGCCATTGACAATGATGGTGTTCGGGCTACATATAATCAAAAAATCTATGATTTCATAATACATAAGAAACTTTACAATAAAAAAAGCTAAATTCTTTTATATGTTTAAATAAAACAATATGTTTACATAATATGGTGATGTGTATACCACCACCATATGTATGCATATAATCAATTATTTTTTGGAAAGAACCAATTTATAAATTTATAAAGTTAAAGATATTTTCATACAGGATTGCTCCTTCATCTTCTTTAAAAAATTTTTAACTAAAGAGAAAAAACAATTTTATTAACATTTTCTATGTAAAGTAATATTTTAAAAAATTAAATAAAACATGAGTATTACAGTAACAAATAAAAAGTTTAATAATCAATACTATCTTAAATCTTACACATTTCTTCCATAGATTGCACTAAAATAACATGAGCTATTGATTATGACACAATCAAAAATAATTCAATCAAATTATAAACTTAATCAATAATAAATTTAAAAAAAATTTAAAAATCAAAACTTACAAAACATTTGTTGAAAGTTCACTACAAAAAAAAAAAATAATACTTATACTAATACATTTTATGTCTTTAAAAATTTAAAACAATAAATTTCAAGTAAATAGAAAACTAACTGTTATTAACAAAACATTGAATAAAAAATTGAGTTTTTTTTACCTGATTGTGGTTGTTGTTGTACTAAAAAAATTAATACAGATTTAAAAAAATACAATAGTAAAGAAAAAGAAAAAACAAATTATTTAGAACTTTTTAAAGAAAGATTTACATTCAATAAAACAAAAGGTTTTTTCTTACCATATTGTAATTGTTGTGTTTCTAGTTAAAATATAAAAAAAGATAAAAAGTAATAATTAAGTATTAGAAAAACAATTTGATATCAACAGCACAACAAATAAAAATAGGTTTTTTATAAAAAAAAGATTATTGAAAAACGTATAAAATTAATTTCTTACCAGGTTGTTGTTGCACTACAAGTTGAAAAATGTGTAGTATTAAAAAATAAACACGCATAATATTTTTTTTTTAATAGAAATCTTTTTTAAAATTTTTTTAAAAAGAGACTTTAAATACATTGGAATTTTTTTTTTACCTGATTGTAGTTGTTGTTGCGGTTCTAGAAAAAATATAAATACAGATTAAAAAAAATACATTAGTAAAGAAAAGAAAACGACAAAATGTTAGGAAATTTAAAAAAAAAAGATATAAATAAATTGAAACAAAAGGTTTCCTTCTTACCAGAATGTGGTTGTTGTTGAGCATCTGCTTAAAAAAAAAACAGATTAAATAATTAAGTAAAAGAGAAAAAATATTATCAATGGCACAACAAATACAAAATAGGTTTTTTGTAGGTTTAAGGGGCTATAAAAAAGTATATAAAAAATTCTTACTTTGTTGTGGTTGCACCACTAAATAAAAATATGTTCAGTATTAAAAATAAAAAAAAATACAGACAACTTAAAAAAATGTGGTTTAACTAAAAGCAAAGAGTAAAGTATATGGAAAGCAAATAAACGAAAAAACTTAACAAATAAATAAAAACAAAATTGGCGACCTAATGAACAAATAAAGACGACTAAAATTGAATTACTGAACAAATAAAATAATAGCGACTTACTAAACATCAAATCGTCATCTAAAGCTTCTAAAAATTTAAAAAGAGGTCAATAAGCAATTTAAAAAAAAATTAACTTAAGAAAAAAAAAAAAAAAAATGCTACCTGACATGATTTATTTTCAAATTTATTAATCTAAAAAAATATCAAACAATGTAATAATCTAAAAATAATAATATGATAATGTTACTATCAATGTAATAAATCTAAATCCAAAAGTCAAGGATTTAAGAGATGTAAGAAAAAATTTGTAAAAAATTCTTTTTTTAAGCCTTAAATTTTATCTTTTTTTAAGTATTTAACTAAGCATTTAACTAAGCCTCGTGGTGATTAAAACCGCGTGGAAGAAAAACTCGATTGGCATTTTGTTTAAAAAACCTAGGTTGGCACTTTGTACCACAGCGATATTTATCATATACAAAAAACCTGAATTTCTGTTTTTGTATATTTGATCAACAAAGTTTTTTCTCAAAAAGACTTGGAATATGTCAAGAAAGTTGGAAACTAAGTGTTAAAAGACTTCACGAAAAAACAAAATTTTGAAATTTGTGAACGATTTTTTTTCTCTCGTTAGCGAAGTTGGTTCTGTGTCAAAATGCGAAGATCAAACTTTTGAATAATATCTTTACATATGTTGTCTATATACAATATCTATAAAACTTTATAAGTATTTGAATTAGTATTTAAAAAAGTTTAAAAAAAAATTAAAACAGTAGTCGTCAACGGTAGGACTCGAACCACGGCAGCTCTGATCCGAAGCCCAGCGCGCTAACCACTCGACTACGCCGTCACGTAGTGTCTTGAAGATTTCAAATTATATAAAAATTGTTTTTGAACGGATAAAACACAAAAGATTAGAAATTAAGCAAAGGTTGACGAAATGCAGTTCTTAAGTGAAAATCAAACTGTTGAACTTGATATATGTTTAAGCATGTTTTAACATTACATAACATGAAGTTTATGTACGTACAATATGAGTTTCACGTTTGCTCGCGTTTTCTTATAAAGCAAAGGTAAGACTCTTTCTCGTCACTACCTCGGATGCAATGGTTGCCAAGAGTATCGTGTCAAACAGGCTCGAAAGCGCACTACTATTACTACTATTAAGTCCAGTATTATTATAAAGAGATTATTATTTTTGTTATTATATTATATATAACCAAAAATATTCTCCCCAAAAGTATATCAAGTTTTGTCTCAAAAGAAATTTCATAGAAAGTTAAAAAAAATTTAGAGCTGTTAAATACAAATTAATTTTTTCAAATTTATTGTAAAAGAACTAACATTTATTAATAAAAATTGAAAAAAGTTACTTTTCAAAACCTTTTTTAACTATATCTTTCTAAAAAAAGTTACTTTTAAGGAATATTTAATAGTTATGCTATCCCTATAAAATTCCACTTTTTTTCAAGCTTAACATTATATACTTCAAGGAGTATACATAAGGATTATGACTGAAAAAATATTTTCAGTCATAATCCTTATGTATACTCCTTGCATTGGTCGTTTAAAATAATGAAGTTATTTGAACCAGAGATATTAATTATATATAATTAATACACTTTTTTTTTACGGTTTACAACCACTTTATCAAATATGAAGTTAATATGTATGCCAAAATATTCAACAAAAAAAATACTATGTTATGAACCATGTGAAAGAGATTATATATACTGGAACAAAATGCCATCAGTTTGACTAGATGATGCTATGATTCCAGAGAACTGCAAACTTCAATTTCAATTTGTTCGATGTAAAAGCTTTCACAATAATCCATCATACAATGATCCAATCAAAATACTTGATAACAAATATAAGAAACAATCAACAGCAATCATGATGTGCTTCAAACTTCACTCTTTTAAGTAACAAGATGGAGAATCAATGAAAGCTTATCTAATTTGAACAATCTGAAACAATTTTCTAGAAAATGTCCAACAAAACCCTTAACAGCAGATCAACATATTAATTTCATTATATGTGATGGATTTATTTTTTTATTATTATTTTTTATTCAATTCACTCCCAACAAGGCTGAAAGCCTTGTTGGGAGTGAATTGAATAAAAAAAGTTCATAAAATACCACTAAAGTGTTTTACAAAGTAAAATACCACTAAAGTGTTTTACAATATTTATTCTCAACTATACCATCTTGGAGATAAAAGAATGGTACATTATTGCAAAACCCCAAACCTACCTTACTCCACCACTAAAATCAAACAACTAACAAGCCAATGTACAACTTGCAATGAATCCATTATGAGGTCTCCTCCTCTTCTCAGAATTTTTATTAATTTTTTTAGAAATTGATGTTCAAAAACGTAAGTATCTTAGGCTGTTTAAAAGTGCCATGAAATTTAATAAAATGTTGTGGTGCAAGTTTAAAATTTTGTTAAAAAATTAATAGTATACAGGGTGCAACAAATCGACAAATGTGCCCGCATTTCTTAAAAGACAGACAGAAAAACATCACGTTTCTTTAATTTTGCTTATGCAAACGTTGCCGTTTGATTAGGATTTTTAAAAACGAACGTATTACTTCAGCAAATTCTTTCAAAATAATTTTGCGATCATTAGTTTTTTATTTATTATAAAAAACACATATTTAATATGAAAAACAATTAATTTCACAGATTTAAATAAACGCCAAAACATAAGTACTTTTTTCAATTGTGTCACTTTTAAGTAAAATAACTAAATACGCTATAGAAAAAAATAATCATGTTTTAGCATGGTTTTTGCATGCGCTCACAAAAGCATAAATAATTTTAGTTAAAATGAATGCTTTCGCAAAAACATCAAGAGAAACCATGCTCAAACATTTCCATTCCTGTCTTTTATTGAGAAAAGCGATCATTACGTTTAACGACAGTTTCCTTTATGCTTTTTGCAATTACATGAAAAGTTTAAAGCAAATGTATTCATTATAAATAAAACTTAGCATGCGTTTTTTAAAATTTTATTCTTTTCCATAAAGTGAAATTATGTTTGTTTGCATATTAAAACTTTTGCACTTTTAAAAGTTTTTTTATTGAGCATTTATCATTAATTTGCGCGCACTTTGCAAATGTGTAAAAAAAAAGTTTTTGAAATATAAAAATTGAATAAATTTACCAAGCATCTTTAATATATTTAATAACTTATTAACTAGAATAAAAATTATTTGAATTTTATTTGACATAAATTTCTTAAATTAGATGTTCGTCAATAAATAAAGATACACAAGTCAACGTAAATTAAAAAAAAACGATATATCACACTCTGGGAAAAAAAATAGTTGGCAAATGCGATTGTTTCAAGATTATTGTAATTCCTTTTTTTTAGTAAATAATTTCTTAATTAGAAATTATATTTCCATGATAAAATGGTTTTTAGTTATTTTTTGATAGCTTCTGTACTAATTTAACTCTAATCTGAATATTTTTTTCAATGATTGCATTTAATTAAGTTGCATTAAAGTACTCAGGAAATTTTGTGGGAGTATAATTGTACTTATGGAATCAATTAAATTCAAAATCACATTTGTTGTTTTTTTTTAGCGCATTTTTTAAACGCGCTAATTATCAAAACTTGCAAAGAGCCGTGGTCAAGTTGATAAAACAAAGAACTATATGCATGGTCATATAAGGCGTGCGATCGCACGCCTCTTACAAGAAGGCCTGGTTCACACAGATTGTGGAACACAGTTTTAAAGAGTAAAAATCAAGGTATTCCTAGAAAAGAACAGTGAGATTAAAAGCAGAACTATATCACCCAACAAGCAGTGACCAATACGAGCGAAAAAATGGAAAAATATAAAAAGCTGTTAGTGTGGCACTGAAAACATTAATTCTAGGAAAATAAAGATGGGAAGTAATATACAAATGGCTCTATTCTTTGTTATAGGGTTTCTGTGATACTAATAAAACACCCCATCAGAGGATGCTGAACTTCCTCATTATAAAGCTCATTAATAATAGGTCCCGTTTTACTAAATGTTCTAAATAAAACCGGATTCCGCAATCCCATACCAATTCAAATAAAGGGAGATTCATTTGTTGACAGAGTTCAACTATTAGGAACAATATTGCCCAACTTCTTATGTATCAAATTTCAAATGAACTTCAAAAACAAAGGCATTTATTAAATTAAAACAAATCTTTTTTGTTCATCAAATACTTTTTATGAAAAATTGTGAAAAAATTGTATGAGTTATTTTATTTAGAATTTAAGTTAGTTGTTCGTTTTGTTGTTTTCAATAGTTATTTCTTAATTAAATAAAATATTGTTTGTTTGCTGTTGTTTTTGCCACTTTTGTTTTAATTTAATTTAGAATTGAAATAAAATGTTTGTTTTGATGTTTTTATTTTAATTATTTAATTTAGAACTTTAATAAAATGTTTGTCTTTTTTTTTATTATTATTATTTTGTTTAATGTTTGAATAAATGTATTTATTCTATTTAAAATGCAAATAAAATGTTCCTATATATATTTTTAATTATTTTGTTTAATATTTATATTAAATGTTTTTTGTTTTTTATTTAATTATATTACTTCGAATTTAATTAAGGTTTCTTTTTCCATTTTTTAAAAAATTATGTTATTTAAAATTTATTTAAAACATTTTTTTTTTGTCGTTTTTATTTTAATTTGAATAGCAAATGAGGATAAATGCCAGCACTTTTTTGTATGTGGGCACTAAATTTTAAAATAGAGAAGACTTTCATGTGTGGTTGCACACCTTATATGATCACACATATAATACTTTGTTTTGACAACTTGGCCACAACTCTTCACAAATTTTGATAATTAGCGCTTTTAAAGAATGCAATAAAAAACAAAAAAACAAAGCAAATTAAAAAAAAAAGAGAATAAAATTAAAAAAATAAAATAGATACAAAAATTAAACTAAAAAAAAAAAATCTTTTAGAATGACAAAATAAGTAGAAGAAAAACTAGAAAAATTAAAACTTATATTATTCACTTAATTGTAAGTGAAAGTTAAAAAAAAAATTATCACAGCTCTATCAATATTAATCATTCCCTCTCACGCTGTTCCCACCAACACCACTTAAGATTTTTTTTATTTTTAGAGATTAACATAGCAAACTAATTTACTAATTAACACAGCAAACTAATTTACTTACGCTGTTTAAAAGTGTAAGTAAATTAGGCTCTTTATAATGTGCTATGAAATTTAACAATTTTGTAGTGCAACTTTTAAATTTTATAAAAAAGCTATTATGATACTTAAAAAATGCAATTACTTATATTTAGGGTGCTTTTTTCAGCAGCAATATACAATGAAGCTCAAGGAACAAAACAGATGTATCTGAAATTTTTAAAAATCTATTTGTAAATGTATTTATGTATTCGTAATGAAAAAAATTCTCGTTTCTTACCTTAAACTCTTATCTGATTATTTTTTAAATGATCGCCTTTTATTACATTGCAATAAAGTTCTCTAAGAAATTTTGTAGCAGTTTAATTATAATTATGAAATCAATTAAGTTAAAAATTTCATCATTTGTTTTAAAAAGATATTGACACAATTAGAAGCTTGTTGATGAAAATTGTGTTGGATGAAATTGTTATCTTAAGTTTGTCTAATTTCCAAATTAATACAAAGTATAATACAAAATGACAAATTTCTTGAAAATTTAATTAACATTAATTACTTTTTATTACTTTAAAAATTTGTTACATTACAAATATATAAATAGATTTAAAAAAATTTCAGACATTTGTTTCGTTCGCATTTTTTAAAAGCGCTAGTTATCGAAACTTGCAAAAAAGCTGTGGTCAAGTTGCCAAAACAAAGTATTATATGCGTAATCATAAAAGGTGTGCAACCGTATGTCTCTTTCGTAAAGGCCTGTTATAATATATATATATATATAAAAATATATATATATATATATATATATATATATATATATATAATATATATATATATATATATATATATATATATATATATATATATATATATATATTTTTATATATATATATATATATATATATATATATATATATATATATATATATATATTAGGGTGATGCAAATAACAACTTTTTTAAAAATAGTCTCTTGCTCTTAACTAAATGTGTTCTATATAATACAAAAACACTAGGTTTAAAGTTTTTTTGAATAAAAAATATTTTAGGGGTGCCTCAAGACCCTTAAATATTTGACAGGTCCCTAATATTTAAAAAAAAAGTTTTTTTAAAGTATGTCTACCTGGTACTCAAAAGAAGCGAAATTATATAAAAACCTTAAAAAATAATGATCAATTTACATAAAAATATTTTTTTTAGATATAATTGCCTAAAAACTATTGTTTTTAAGGTTATAATAAAAAAAGTCCATATTTTTAATTTTTTTTAAAATAATTTATTAAAACATGTTTTTTATGTAAATTGATTATTATTTTTCAAGTTTTTATATAATTTCACTTCTTTTGAGTACCAGGTTGACATACTTTAGAAAAACTATTTTTTTCAAAATATTTGGGACCCATCAAATTTTTAAGGGTCATGAGGCACCCCTAAAAATATTTTTTGTTCAAAAAAATTTTAAACCTAATATTTTTGCATTATATAGAATTATAGAATACATTTAGTTAAGAGCAGCCAACTATTTAAAAAAAATATTTGTATACAAATATATATATATGTGTGTATGTATGTATATATATATATATATATATATATATATATATATATATATATATATATATATATATATATATATATATATATATATATATATATATATATATATATATATATATATATATATGTATATATATATATATGTATATATATATATATATATATATATATATATATATATATATATATATATATATATATATATATATATATATATATATATATATATATAAAATATTTAATGGGTCCCTAATATTTTCAAAAAAAAGTTTTTTAAAAATATGTCAATCTGGTACTCAAATGAAGCGAAATTATATAAAAATTTATAAAAAAATTATATTCATTTTAAAAAAATTTTAACTTTATCAAAATTATCATAAAAAAACATGAAAAATTCCTTTTTAATCATTTTCTGTTAAAAACGTAATTTTTTAAGTAATAAAACCAAAAATAACAATTTTTTTTAAATAAATATTATTTTTGAAATTTTTATATAATTTCGCTTCATTTGAGTACCAAGTTGACATATTTTTTGAAAATATTAGGGACCCATTAAACTTTCAAGGATCTTGAAGGACCCCTTAAAATATTTTTCATTCAAAAAAATTTTAAACCTTGTGTTTTTGTATAGATAGAACACATTTAAGGGTAAGAGCAGGTTTTTTTCAAAAATGTTGTTTTAAGGGCCACCCTATATATATATATATATATATATATATATATATATATATATATATATATATATATATATATATATATATATATATATATATATATATATATATATATATATATATATATATAACTAACAAATTAATTTTTCATTATTTATTACAGCCTAAGTATAAGGTGTTTGTTCCATATCCACCTCATGGATGTTCAGAATACATTGATGTAACAAGGTCATGGAATGCATCTTCATTTGTAACATCAGATGGAAACTGTTCTCAGTTTGAAAAATTTCAATGGGCTTCTTATGCTCATGCTAGACAAGTTATTATTGTAAGATCTAATGACTCAACAGAGGTATGAAACTTAATTATAAAATGATAATTAAAAGTATAAAATAAATTTTAGGTTTTAAAAATTTGGATTTGTTTCTTTGTTAAAGTTTTTTAACTAGCCTTGCTAGTTTTAAGCATAACCTGTTTATAGTATATGCTTTTATCTTATCATCTGATAGCTTATAGTTTATATGCTTTTATTATATCATCTGATAGCTTATAGTTTATATGCTTTTATCTTATCATCTGAAGCTTATAGTTTGTATGCTTTTATCTTATCATCTGATAGCTTATAGTTTATATGCTTTTATACTTATAATCTTATAGCTTACAATCATTAAAGTTTTATAAGTTACCATAATAATTTATGATAATTATATAATACCTGGAAGATTTATTTGAATTAACATTAAATATGATTTGTAACCAAATAGCTTACAGCGTAATGTTTTAAAAGCCCTATACTATACTTAATTTGTTTTTTGACTTGTTTTTTGTTTTTTAATATATAGTGAACTGGTTACGATGTAAAATATTCTTGAATTTAACTTCAACTCATTATACTATAAGAGAGATGTCTTTTAATGAGAAGGCTTGCTAACTCATGAAACTCTTATGTAATATAATGTTAAATTGATAAATTGTGTTAATAGGTTTTATTGTTTCATTGATTTTTACTTTTTACTTTTAATTTTTTTTTAAAAGGAGTTTGAAACTGGTACCCATTATCAACATAATCAAGTTCATCTATCGGTTGGTATGATATCTTACAATGCATGGAACAAGGTTCAGGTAAAGAAATAAGTTAAAGATCTTATAAAAGTTGCAGAATATTTTCTAAGATGATGTGTGAAAGTTTTGTTTAATTTAAAGGTAAAACCATTGTTAAGATCAGTCAATTAAAAAAATAATATTCAAACTGTTTTCCAATTTAGTTGCTTTAATCCATGAAATAAAAATAAAAAATAAATAAAAATAATTAAAATGCATACATTAATCTTATTCAGTAGTGGTTTACTATTGTTTTTTCAATTTTTGAGTTTATTCAATGATGCTATAAAATGAAAGAGTTATGAAAACTTCTATTAAAACTTAAAGATATAATTGTATGCTTAATATATATATATATATTTATATATATATATATATATATATATATATATATATATATATATATATATATATATATATATTTGTACAAAATATATATAGAAAATAACTTAAAATGTATTGTATATAATGGGTGACAACTAAAAAACGAGACTGGATTTAAAGACACATATCTCTTTAAAAAAATAAAATATAACAAAAAGGAAAAATGTTCTAGAAAGTATTTTTGTTCTAGTTTTTAAATATATAATCAGTTGTTCTCAATTAAACCATTTCTTCTGACTCTGTCAACTAGGCCTGGTGTAGACTGAGCTAGTCTCCGTATGAGCTCAATATCAATTTTATTAAGGCAATACCTGATTCTAGGACGTAATTTTTTTAAGGTTTTCTGCATGCCAATTATTCTTGTAGACAAGGCCTTTCAAAATACTCCAAAAATTTTTGGTAGGGCGACATTCTGACAAGTTTGCAGGGTTATCCGCTTTCTCAACATAATGCACGTTTTCCTTGTTTAAGTACATAATTACTGTTTTTGCATAATGAGATAATGCTAATTTTGGCCAGAATACATATGCACCATCTGAATGATTCCTATTGATGAATGGAATAAGTCTCTTCTTAATACATTTGTTTAAATAGATTTTTTGGTGTAGAGCCAGTCCACTTGGTACAAAATAAGGTTAAGAAATTCCATTTTCAGAAAAAGCAATCCGTAGAAGTAATTTCTATGGATTGCTTTTTCTGAAAATGGAATTTCTCAATCACTAGTATAAAATATATAATTTCCATTGATACTGGAGTGATTTAACGTGAAATAAGACTCATCGTCAACGATTATTTAACGATTTTTGAATTTCTGACACAATCGACTGCACTTAATTCTAGCTTCTGCTATTTGCTGGTCAGAGCGTTTTGGAATCGTCATTTTTTTTCTTTATTTAATATTTGCTCTTTTTTTCAATGTTTTACTAATGTGTTGCTTAGTACAGTTGAAATTTTTAGCTGCCTGTCGTTGAGAAACTCCGTCTTTATGGTCAAACATGAGTTTAAGCTTTTCAATGTTTGTTCTGGTCATTTTTTTAGCTTTTATTCAACTTCCTTAAATTCTTTGGTACCCAGATTTACTTTCAGCACGTTTAATTATCTTGCAGATAGTACTTTTAGGTATATTCTCAACTTTAAAGTGGTCATAAGTGAGTTTTTTACCGGCATTTTTGTAATTTAAATAAAATTCGTACACATTAATCTAATCTCTTCTTGTTTTGAATTTATTTTTTTATTCATTTTTCTATAAAAAATAAAAGCACATAAAATATTTAAAAACTAGAATAAAAATACCTTCTAAAACAGTTTTCCTATTTTTAAAATCTTATTCCTTTAAGGAGATATGTGTCTTTAAATCCAGTCTCGTTTTTTAGTTGTCACCCGTTATTTGGTTTAAAATATTTTTTGATTACCTGTTGCGTATTTAAATATCTTTATATATAAGTTATAGAAAATTTTTTTTATTCAGTTCTGAGGTGCTAAACTTATATAAATTTAAATTTTTATAAAAAGCAAAATCAATTTATTATTGGTAAAACAAAGTTTTATTTTTTTAATTTTAATAAAACTTTTATAAAATAGTTTATTTATATTTTTTTAAGTTTATTTTTATTTAAATAAATAATAAATAAATTTCTCTTCTATTTAGAAAAAAAGTAAAATTTTCTTTTTTTTTTTTAATTAGATTTTTTTTTATCAAGCTACTAACTTTTAATTAGTGTTAAATTTTCATTTATGTTTTTTACTCAAATTTGATTTATGTTGATTAGTGTTAGTTCAACTTATGTTGTTAATGCTATTAGTGTTAATTCAACTTATGTTTTTTTTTTTTTTTTTTCTATTTTAATTCACCTCCTCAAGGCCGAGAAGGCCACTACAGACGAGGAGGCTACTTATTTGTGGTTATAACCCTCTCTCAACTCTATAACTCCGAAACACGAACCTTGACGAGCAAGGCCGCTGCACGGAGAAACGAGTTGAGCGCGGTACTACCAGGGACGTGGTGGGGATCGAACTCGGAACCACTCGTTTATGAAGCGAGCGCTCTACCACTACACTACTACCGCATTGTTGTGTTATTGTTATTAGTTCAACATGTTAATGTTATTAGTTCAACTTATGTTGATTAGTTATAATTAAATGCAATTTTACTTAACTTTATTTTTGTTGAAAATAAGATAAGAATTAATATTATATTAACATAATTCTTTTTTTCTATTGTTTATTGTCTATTTATTAGAAAACAATGATTTATTAGAAATAAACTTCGTTGTCATAATTTATTCAAAGAGAAGAAAAACAAGCTTGTTATTGTGATATTTAGTTTCAGATTTTTGTTGTGCATGTGCTAAATAGCTCAGTATAAAATTGTAAATTTTGTTTTTGTATCAATACTAGCTACAATACAAAAATAAATAAACTCATTAAGTTTTGCACCTAATAGATGAAATTAAATTTTTTGAAAGTATTTAATACAAGTTTTTCTGCCAAATCCTTGGTTTGATTAGAAAGGATCTGAATTGTTTTATTTTTTAAATTTATAAAAAAAATTGTTTATATTTTTTGATGTTTAGAAACTTGGTGAACCAATTTATTCGCAACTTTATCATCCTCATGAGCCTTTGTTTGACCCAAATATTGTTATCATATGGTTCATTGCAGTTTTTACTGTGTGTGCTGGGGCATATTGGAGTGGGATTGCTTTTCAACAGAGGTAACAGGTATTTTTGAATATTTTTTTTCTAATAAAATTATTTGGATTCTTTTTAATTTAGTTATTTTTTGTTTTTATTATAAATAATATATAAAACAATTATTTAATAAAATAAATGAAAAATTTAAAATTTTTTAAATGAATTTAATAATATGACATTAGCTCTGAAAAAACTCTAAGCAAGATTTAATTTGAAAAGGAAAGTTTTATTTATTTATTTTTTTTTCTTTCTTTCTTTTTTTTTTTTTTTTTTGACTTAGGTTATGCTAATAACTCTGCTAAATTTAGCAGGTTATAATTATAATTTAAAGGTTATAAGTAATCATTTTTATTCTTTCTTTTCTTTTTTCTTTTTTTTTTTTTTTTTTTTTTGTTGATAAGTTTTTGACTTTATATAAGAATTTTGTTTGATATTAATAAAAATAATGATTAAAACAACTAAATTATTATAACATAATGCAAAATACTTACATGTAGTATATTGAGGCAATATACTAACAATTAGTTAATATACTGAGGCAACTGCTCAACTCATGCATTGGATGCCATGCTCTATTTATGAATGAGTCAAGTTATCCTTTACTTAAACCATGACTAAAGTAACCAAAAATATTAATCTTGGAAAACCATCGCCAGCACCTGTTTCAATATATCTTTTACAAGTATTAGTGGTCTTGCAAAGTTCACCAGACTTGCTCTTTGTGAGACTAAATTAAATTTGTATATGTATATATATATATTAAAAATATAAATATAATATATAATAGTTAAATATTAAATAATTTTAATATAATTTTACAGCGGTTCTAAAGTGATAGAACAGAATCTCTTTGATTTGGATTGGACAGATGATAAGAAAAATAACAGGTGATATAAACAATCTAAACAATAATTTAAATTTATCTTAATTTATCTTAATTATCTTAATTTATTTTTTAAAAACATTAAAATAAAATTATTAACATTAAATATTTAAACATTAAAAAATTTAATGTCTTAAAACATGTTTTTAAACATATCTTATACTTAAATAGCATGAATGTAAACAAGACACTATGGTAGTTTAAAATCTTTTTTTTTAAATGATAAATTAACAGTTATAAGTTTGTACTATTGTTTTAAGCAAAAAAGTATTTTTAATGAATGTATAAAAATATAATTATAACTGTAAAATATGAATAGAGTAATTAAAATATAGTTATTTAAAAATATTATAATTAATAATATGTAATAATATTCAATCAGCATAACATTTAAACCAAGGTTAAAGTGATATTTAAACATAGCTTAATACTTTTAAAAATAAAAACAAAATTTAAAACTCAAACTTATGGTAAGTTATTAATCAGGTCTTGATTTTAGTCTGGGTTAAGTCTTGAAAAATCTTATAATGGTATTAATAAAAATACATTGGTTAGGTTTGTAAACCAATAAAAGAATATATTTTGGTGCCTCATAATTCCTGAATTTAGCCTCGCACTGCCATTTAGAAATGGTATTTGTAGTTAATTTGTACATTGTAGGTACTTGTAGGTACAGTGCTCAGAGGCTGAAGATCTTTTGGATTTTATTACATTTACCAGTAGTATGTGACTGGGTATGCCTCCGTATATGCCTCTGGCCTCTGGCCCCAGCTAAAAAATTTACATTTTTTAAACCCATCCCTGGCAAAATTGTTAATACTTCATATATTATAAATTTATGCATTTTAATATTTTTTTTATAAATTTTTACATTTACTATTTATTAAGTGCTGGCATATAAACATATATATATATATATATATATATATATATATATATATATATATATATATATATATATATATATATATATATATATATATATATATATATATATATATATATATATATATATATATATATCAAGCCTTCCCAGGAAAGGCGTGCGGTTTTCTTGCTTGTACTACGAAAACGTTTTTAAAATTAGAGAACATGACCACGGCCGTTTGCGCAAGTTATATTATATGCGTTACTGAAATATTGTTTTAAATTTAATAACTGCATAAGAAATTAAAGTAAACTTAAATAGAAAACAATAATAATAGTTTTAATAGTTTGTTTGTTTGTTTTTTTGTTTTTTCTTAGTGATTATTATTATCGGCAACAAAATTCATCAAGTCAAAGCAAAAAAAAAAAAAAAAAAAAAAAACGGTTTTAGGCATTAAAAAGGTTGACTTTTTCATATTTTTTGTGTTTTTTCTTTTAAAGAGGAAAAAGAAAATATGTATCGTCATCTGTTTGTAAAATATATTCGTATTTATAATATAACAAGTTTTTATCAAGAGTTAAATTATACGATCGCGTTTGCAAATTATTACAAGTTTGCTAGCAAGAAAGTTACAAAAAACAAAACAAAAACAATAAACTTACGACTACAAAAGTAATAACACTTTAGTCACTAACTGCATTATAAAAGTAATAAAACTATAATAGTGTTATTACATTTATAAAGCACTTAACACTTTTAAAGTTCATTCTTTGTTCAAATAACATTATTAAGAAGAAAAAGCTTATACACAAATCCTAGTCAACAGTAATTTTATTGTTAAAGTATACCTAAAACAAAACAGGACACATAAGTAACCATAAATCTTCATTAAATACAAATGTTTAACTTACTTAAAAACAAACATACATATGCAAAGATATATCAATATTTTAAATGAATAAATATAAAATAATAAGATAATATAAAGAAAAAGCTTTTGTGTAATCATAGTTTATATATATATATATATATATATATATATATATATATATATATATATATATATATATATATATATATATATATATATATATATATATATATATATATATATATATATATATATATTAACCATTATTAAGTATTAAGGTACTAGAAAAAAAAAATAGGGTTAAAAAACTAAAAACTTATGAAGTTGTAGGTTGTATGAGTAAGGAAAACATGAATATTGATTAGAGTTTTAGGGTTTTGTTGATGTGCGAGGAAAAAAACTTAATAAGAGTTTGAAAACATGAATATTGATTAGAGTTTGGGTTTTAGCTCTTTTGAGCAACAACCATGATAGTGTTTGTAGAAAGAAAAGAAAAAAGATGTGCTTTCAGTTTCGGACCTTGTCTGAGAATGAGAGGGTTGTTATTTTTTAATATAGAAGTGTCAATAATACTGTGATCCAGTTAATTTCTGGTAAGTTGAATACTGGTTAATTCGAATTTTTGTTATCTTGAACTGTTTTATCTGGTCCCATAAAATTGTCATATTTATTGGTAATAAAAATCCCTGGTTAAGTCGAACCTCAGATAATTCAAACTATGTTTAGTGGAACTATTTTTTTTTTGTCCCTTCGCTTCGATTAACTTTTGTATGGGAAATTAAGAAATCAGAATAACTTGATAAAAAAAATTTTAAAAAAGTCATTCCATATAAAACATAAATAACAGAAGTCTAGTTCTTTTACATTTTTCTGTTAAATTTTGAATCGAATAGAATGGTAATTAGATAAACAAGCCATACAAGATATAGCCATTAGGTTCAATAGTAGTATATGGCCATTAGATTCAGCTTAAATACCTGCTTGGATCCAGGTAGTTAGGTTAGAAGCGTATTTATGCATACATAATATGCATGTATATAGATATAATCATATGTTGGCTATTAAATTTAGATAATGGAATACAATATCTTTACTTAATATATAAATTTTAGTATTTATATGGTGTAGTATTTGCCTAAGGAGAAGATAATGATCAGATGGATGTGTAGTATGACTCTAACAAGACAAGAAAAGGAGCCCAGACAGATATTAGAAAAAACATTGTATTGAAGAAGTTTGTTTGAGAAGATTAAAGTGATTTGGGTATCAACATGTAGAGAGGTAGCAGCTTCAGAAAAAAATTGTAGAAGTAAAAAGAATTATAAAGAATGAGCAAGCTTTAGTAAAGGAAAGAAGATGTGTTTATATTAGAAAAACAGAATAAAAGGGGAAGGCTAAAACTTGATGATGATGATGATGATGATGATGATGATGATGATGATGATGATGATGATGATGATGATGATGATGATGATGATGATGATGATGATGATGATGACAATAATGATGACAATAATGATGACAATAATTGTTGATCATGTTGACCATAATGGCATTTATATATAAATATACATGAATATAAAATATATAAAACATAATATGAATTTTGAATAAAATAAATAAACTAGTATTAATGTTTATGCTGCCTTGGTCACAAACCTAGACTCTGCTATTTTTTATCAAACCCGGCATCAGCTCTAGTTAAATTTCAAACCCGGTTGTTTACAAGTAACCAGTAGTAATTGTAGAAACAATTATGGTACTTGTAGTGGTGCTCAAAGGCTGAAGATCATTTTTGGATTTTATTACAGTAACCAGTGGCAAAACACTGGCGAAATGAAAGTTTTAAAAAATTGTTTAATGTCGGGGTCTCTAAAACATGATTCTTCTTTTCTGTTTTTTTTGGCAAATTATTGTGATTTATGAAAATTTTTTAAATTTTCTAATATATTATTACATTAAATTAATTCAAATTTGTGCTGCATGCTGCGTTTGCAAATAATAATTTTAAGTGGCAAGCTGATCATTTCTCAGGTAAAGAAGTTTGTATGTCAAAAAATTTGGCTCTGACTAAATTTGTGCCTTCTATGCTTCATACAAAATGTATGCATTCTTCAATTTATGTATGCTTAACAACCTTTTAAAAAGATGTTCTATTTCTATTAAAGCATTAATCTTATATTATTCTGGATCCCATGAGATTCATGATTCAAAAGAGAGTCAATTGTTTAAGGAAAAGTTTTTGCAACAAGACTACGTTAAGCACTTATAAAAAAAGTGGAAAAAATATATCTCAAGCAACTATTTTGTTTTCAATTAAAATGCGTTAAACCATTTTTGTTGTTAATTTTTTTTTTCAAATTTTAATTTTGCGCTTTTTTGCAGTACAAATGCATTTTTAGAACTTTTAAGAAATTTTTAGAAGTTAATTGAAACAGTTATAAAGTTATTTTTAAAAAATGTTTCATTTTTTTATTTTAAAAAATTTCAATAGTTCAAAATATCATTTCATTGTGTGCGTCATATTTGAATAAATAAATGTCTACTAAGTTCTAATAGATCTTCATAGAGGAAGAGACCACTTTTTTCCAATTTTTTTGAAACTGTAAAAGTAGGTCGAAAACCAACTGCAAGAACCAAAAAACTTGTAAATGCAATTGATTGTAAGTTGCAGCGTAGTCCAAACCCCTCAACTTCAAACCTTGCTAAAGAAGAAACTTCAAGACTATTGATTCAAAGACTAATCCACAAAGATTAAGCCTGAAGAGTTTTGTAACAACATCTTCTGAGTGTAGTCACAAGAGAAAAATGGGAAAAACAAGTGCACATTTTGTGAGCAAGTGCCTGAATGTTTGAAGTCTGTCGTTTTATAAAAAGGTTATTTTGAGTAAAAATAGTTTTTTAACACTCCTCTGTGTTCAGTTTATTTGAAAATAAATAATTTTCAACATAATCTCAGCCTCACTTTGATTTTTCACATTTTACAATTTAACTTAACATTTTGCACACCCCTGTAAATGTGTTCAAAATATAACAAATATTTTATTAAGAAAAAAAAAGTTGCAAAATCTTAATTAATGTTGCAAAGTTTGAAACTTAACTAAGGGATATTTATCTTCACCTTAAATTCTACAATATACTTTATTGTTAAATGTATACAAATGATGATCCATAAAATGGGGAATTATAACATCACTTGATGAATATTTGTTTTAGTTTAAAGTGGCTCTATGGTTAAAAAACACTAAAAAATTTAAAAAATAAAAAAAAACTTCTTATTTGAAATTTATTATAGATTCAGAAAATATATATCTTTATATACATTTAAACTCAATATTATGAGTAATATTAATTTATTTAAGGTACAATTTTTTCAGCTTCTATAGCAATACCCCTAGCAACAGTGATTTTCTGTCTTTTTAGTTGGTGTACATTTTTGGAGTGAAAATAAATCTCACTAAATATCTTCTGTAAACATACCATTAGCTCTTCATAATGCAATAAAACCGATTTTTATTAATTTATGCTCTGAAAATTTGTTAAAACGATGTCTACATGGTACTACCCAAAATTCAAACGAAGCATTTAATCAAATAATTTGTTATTGCAATTTTAAATGTGTTTTTTTACAGAATTGTTTTTTTCGATATTGCACAAAAGTTAAAAAAGGTTTTCTTAAAAAGTATAAAAGCAATAAACCTGAAAATTTTCAGTGTTAGCTCGATAAAAAATAGTTGAGGAATTGTAGCAGAATTACATAAAATTAATTATTTTAAGTTTGGAATAATTATCTTAAATAAAAGATTGATTTTTATTTTGCTTCCATTCTTTTTATCCACCATTTTTGATGTACAATTTTTTATTTAAAAATTCTTCTACAATCTCTTTGTATTTGAATCATAAAGATATTCTGAAATTTTAAGTCTCATAAAGTTTTAAAAGTGTGTTTATATTTTACTTATTTTTTGCTGACTCATCAAAACAAAAAGTTTTTATAATTTTTTGGAGTGTATTAGTTGATAAAAATGGTTATTCTTTTTATATAAAATTATTTGGAAAGATTTATCTTTAAAATGCAAAAGTTACTTTTTTTAACTAAAGTCACCTTAAGTTAACCATTAACTTTAAGCTTCAAATTTATTAGGGTTAGGGGTTATAATTTTTAGAGGGATTTTGATCTAAAACTCTAATGAATTTGACATGCCTAAAAGGTATGTCAAATTCATTGTCTATGCATCTAAAATTCTTACCAGAACCTGTTACTGAACCTATTTTTTTTTCTACCAGAACCTGTTGTTTCTTTATTACTATTATTATTGCCACTTTATTTATTTTCAAAATTCAATTATATATTTTTTAATAAATAACAACGCAAAAATTAGTAGAATTAGACTTGAAGAGCTATTAGTTCTTTGCTTACAAAATGATGGAAAATTGTTGCAAATTTTGAATAAATGAAGCTTTCAAAGCACTAACACCAATAAATTAGGTCGACCAAATAAGTAGAAAAATTATGTTTTAATGACCTTTGCAAACCATTAGCAACTCAACATTGAAATTTATTTATTAGAGCTATTAGAAATTAGTTTGTTAGAGTATAAAAGAATTAAGTATAAATAAAAACTGTTATTTTTTAGTTTAAAAGAAAATAAACAACCCACTGAAAATGATGATGACTTTCAAATCACCACAGTTATGGTTGTTGTTTTTGTGGCAATGATATGCACTGTACTCTTGCTTCTCTATTTTTTTTATAAGTACCTTATCTATGTAGTCATTGGATTGTTTTCATTGGCAACAGTGTCTGGAACTTATCAATGTTTATCTAAAATAATGTCTTTTATAGAATGTGGTATGTTTTGTTTTATCTTTGGTTTTTTTTAGTTTTTTTATGTTTTTAATGTTTATATTATCAATATTGTATAGTTAATTTCTTTATATTAAATAAATAATAAATAAATTTAAAATGTTAATATTAAATTAGGTTTATAAATATATTTATAAAGTTCACTGGATATCAAATTTATAAATTAGATATTTAGTTAACAGTTTGGGGAGGGGGGTAGATTTGACAATTTGTTCTTTATCATTTATTAAATTGTTTATTGGAATAAATTAAATATCTAAAATTACTAATCTTTCTAATTTTTTTATTATGTTACATAGTAGCATTTGTTGCATATACGTTTTTAATTACATATGGAAAATATATGTTTTCTAATTGCATTTGCAAAATGCATTCATCCATTTGAATGTTAACACTTTGAAAAAATTAAGTATTGTTTTAGGACAATGCAGAGTTCCAGAAAATAAAATTCCATTTTTGAAGAACCAGCCTGAAGTACGAAATGTATTACTACTTATTGGGTGTATATTCCTTTCTTTATATTGGTTTATTATTAGAAATAGCAGGTATAAGCTTGTTTTTATATCTTATACCTGTAAAATCAAAACCTGTAATGGTTTTGATTTTACCTTTTTTTTTAATATATGTTATATTTGTAAAAAACTAGATTACAGTTTTTTTATCAAAATGCTTGCAATCTATTGAAATCTTATTGTAAATTTTAATAATATTAAAAAGTATATTGACTAAAAAGTAACAAGCTGTTTTTCTAAAAATTTCTAGATTGTTCTAGAAGCTTCTAGATGTTCTATGATATGTAGGGCATGAAATGGTCTAATTATTTAATTTAAATGGCATGAAATGGTCTAATAGGCTGATTAATTGCTGAGTTGTAACTTCTGTATATTGCATAAAATGGAAAGTGTTAAAGAAAGGTGTTCATGACTTTGTTTTGAGTTTTGATTGATTTACTATACAGCAACACAGAATATATCCAATCAGATTCAGATCAATCATCCAATCAGATTCAAGATTTGGTGTTTGAGGCAACAGCACAGCATTGGTTTCAAACATTTTTAAAACACTAACTTAATGTTGCAAAATCAATAAAGTTTGATTTTTTGAAGCAAAGCCAAATTTGAATTTTTTTAAGGGTAGAATGCAAGAAGCGAACTTGAGTGAAGTTAGACTTAAACTTTGAAGTCTGACTTTGTCAAGTTAGACTTCAAAAAAAAGCTTGAGCAAATGTGTAAACTAAAATTTCAAGATCACGCTTTAGAATCAGAAAAGAAAACTTTGCAGCCGATTGCGGCAAAGTATTTGAAAAGTGAGAACCTTTTAAATAAAGAAATTGACTATATATTTATATGAGTTTTATACTTAAAAATATTAATTAACAAAAGTAAATTAAAAGGCGATATAAAAATAAAAATTTTAACTTTAATATTTTATTTTTATTAAAACTTGGTAATTTAATAAAAAAACACTGGATTTAAATGAGCATGCTTGTGTTACCTTCTACTTAGTCCTAGGCTCATATAATGGCATATATGCTATGCGGTTATATGCCATTTGCATATAACTGCAAAGCATATATGTCAAACATAAAGTTTTTATTATTCATTTTTCTTGTTAAAATTTTTATTAAAAAAAAAATAACTCCAACAAGGCTGCAAGCAAATTACATTGGGAGTTGCAAGCAAATTACGTTGGGAGTTGAAAAAAAATTAAAAATTATGACAACTGTTTTCAATACTAGGGCGAATATGATATTTAAAAAGGTAGCATTTAAAATCAGTAGAAGAAAATGGTTAACACAAGTTAGATTTTATCAAATGTAAAACAGAACTTATTTTTGTTATAACAGTTAACAAGTCAGGAGTAGAACGATAAGACCAATATCTGTATAGATCAGGGGCAGATCCAGCATTTTATGGTCTTTGAGATAACTAACCTTCAGATATGGAAAAAATAATTAAATGCTTATACTTATGTCAAATTAGGATGTTTTTCAAAAAATTTACCTCAGTTTGAGCTGACTTGTTCATTGAAATAACAAGAAGAGTGAGGCCATTTGGTTCAAAATTAGAGAAAAAGTTTTTTGCATTTATTAAGTTTATAATATAAAGAATTAATTTCAGCTAAAAAAACCTATTTATTTTTTGAATTATAGTAAAAGAGATGAAAAAGAAGACTGATGAAACTGGCCTAATTAATATCCTAACAATATCTTAACAAGAGACAACATTTTGCAAATGCTGCCACAAAATCATTTAGTTCTATTTTAAAATTTTATAGGGATAATGCAATGTTAGAGTTAAAATTAATTACATTTCAAAAAACTTTAAGGTTATAAGTACATTTTTAGGATGCAACTATTGATACAAAACAAATTTAACTTTCTTTCTTGCTCTTTACATATAGCATTTTACAATATTAATATTATTATAAACAAATGACCAAATGAGTCACTGAAGTTCATATTTGAAGTAAGGTCTTCTGATATTATCAGAAAACTTGAAGTACCAGAAAACCTAAAATAAATCAAAAAATGTTATGACATTAAAATCAAAATTTACAAAAAATATTGACAATGTTACATATTAATACACAGATTTTAATAGACTCTTTCAAAGGTATCCCAAATCTTGAGACTTGTTGTGTTTATATTAAAGAGAATGATAAAAATAAAATGTTTAGGCTAAATTTTTTTGATTAAAACAAAAGAATAAATGCATACCAAGAAAACTAACTTTTTTATATCAGTCAAAGCTCGCCTTATCCTTTTTGTTGTAGGCCAAAAAGTCAGCATAATATACATCGCAATCTACAGATTGATAATTTATTTAAGTTATTTAACTTGATAATTTTTTTAAGCACGTTTTGTTTCTAAGAGCTTCAGTACATGGCGTCAATTACTTTTTTGTTTGTTTACAAAATCTTTTAAGTTTAATGATCTTTTAAATAGACAAAAAAAAAAATCAACGACTTCATGTACTGAAACTCTTAGAAATCAAAGGGGCTTGAATAAATTATCAAATCTGTAGATTGCAGTGTATATTATGCTGACTTTTTGGCCTACAACAATACAGAGAAGGCGAGCTTCGGCTAAAATAAAAAAGTTAGTTTTTCTTGGTATGCATTTATTCTTTTGTTTTAATCAAAAAAATTTAGCCCAAACATTTTTTTTTTATTATTCTCTTTATTATGAACACAACATGTCTCGGAGGAGTCCCTTTATAGATTATTTTATTAGAGCATTTCTATGTTTTTGACTGTTATTTTTATTTCACAAGATAACACTTTTTTTTTCAGATTGAGTTTCAGATTTTCATTTACTTTATCAATAAGGAAAGATTTTTCTTGTTGATACTTTTCGATTACTTATGTTTTAATTTTTTAAGTTAAATATATTTATAATAAACATTGAGATTTATTTCCTCTCGTAGATAGTTTTGAACCATTTTCCTCATTATAATTTTACATTTCATTGTATACCAAAAGATCATTTTGTAGAAAGACAAGGTTGTGAAGCAAAGATAGATAAAAGGTCTATAAAAATTTTTTGGTTTTATTTGTAAAGGGATGTTGCAAACAAGTTCCAAAACAACATTCAACTGTCAAACCTGTTTTGATAATATGGGACATTATCCCCTAAAACATGGATGTGCTGACAAGCTTCTAAAACCTGTTTAATGGCTAATTTGGTAAAAACTTGTGATCCTTGAACACATTTACTCTATTCAATACAAGTATACAAAATTTGTTTTGAAGGTCCTATAACTACTACTTTCACTGCAATTCTGCATTTTATCCCTCAGAACTTGTTATAGGATAGGCTCCATCTATTGTTCCAATATATCCTAGAAAACGTCAAGTGTATATATATATATATATATATATATATATATATTTATTTGTATATATATATATATATATATATATATATATATTTATATATATATATATATATATATATATATATATATATATATATATATATATATATATATATATATATATATATATATATATATATACCAGGCTTTCATAGGTAGACGTGCGATTTCACGTCTTTATATGACCACGCAAGTTACATTTTGCTATGGCGGTTTGACCGCAGCTAATTTAAAAAACGTTTTAAAAATGGGTTAAATGAAAAATATTTAAAATAAGTGAAATGAATTACATCAAAACTTTTAAACAAATGTTTTTATATTAATGAAACGATTTTAAGTAAAGTAACAATTTACTGAAAATGTTTTTTTGTTTTTTTATATAATTGACAGTTGTATATATTTTTTTAATTTATAGCATATAAATTGTTTAAGTGTTCATTTTTAAAATAAATGTTATTAAAAAATAAAGAATTGTTTTGTTTTTATAAACAATGACTTTCTACAACTGCGAAAGTTTTTTTAACGAATTTAAATATAAGAATAATTAAAGTTAATGCGTTTCAAAAGATAAACAAAATTTTGTTTAAAAAAAAAGCTTTAAAAAGCCGTTACAAGTTTGATCTTAAATGCTTTTATATTAAGCCCGTTCTCCATTCAGAACTTTTTGCGCTTTGGAGAAGCGGAAAAGTTCTTTGAGCATGCGCAAACAGTTTTTTAAAACCCGTTCTCCTATCAGAACTTTTTGCGCATGCTCAAAGAACTTTTCCGCTCCTCCAAAGCGCAAAAAGTTCTGAATGGAGAACGGGCTTTATCAAAATGCTTTTTAATGAAGTAAAAAAACACTTCTAATTAATTTAAAAAACAAGTATTAATAAGATGTTGTTTTTTTTTTAATATATATAATTATGTATTATTTTTTTATGAAAAATGTTTAACTTTTAAAACATATTAGATAAATAATAAATATATACAAATGTTGAAAACAAAGATTGAAATGGTTTTTTAATGCGCAAATTAAATAGACTAAGCATTTTAGTTTGATGAGTTTTGTTTTAGTTGCATTATATATATATATATTTATATATATATATATATATATATATATATATATATATATATATATATATATATATATATATATATATATATATATTTATTTTGTTGTGTTTTTGCTTTAACTAAGTATTTTTTTTTTCTTTTCGGTAAGATTTTTTTTCTTTTTACAATTTTTTTTTTTAGATTAGGTAAGTTTTTGTAGCACATTTTTAAATTTTGAAAATATGTTAAATGCCGTGGTCAAATCGTTAAAACATATTAATTTTTGTGTGGTCATATAAAGACGTGAAATCGCACGTCTTCCTGTGAAAGCCTGATATATATATATATATATATATATATATATATATATATATATATATGTATATATATATATATATATATATATATATATATATATATATATATATATATATATATATATATATATATATGTATGTATACAACCCTCAGAATTAGGGTTGGCATTTGGCAATGCTGACCTAACTGCCGACCTGAAAGTGTTTGAGATCGGCAATTTTTTGCAGACCTCGTTTCTATGTTTTATGGTAGGGTGAAACCACCATATATCACCACGAAAGTTATGGGTTCGTGAAAAAAAAGTTCTAAAC